CCCCAAAACCCCAAAACCCCATAAGCATTTATATAAATACAATTTTGAAAAATTTAATGAACTCATAATTAAAGTTTTATATATTCATATACATTGTAAATTTAATTACAGCAATCATAGTCTTAAGATTCAATATATAATTTCTCCCTACATAACATACATATGTAAGTTCATATGCATTATAAGCGAGATATTATATCGCTTTTCACTTATCACTTTATTTTCAAAAGCTTAGAGATAATCATTGACTTTATTTTTCGAGTATGGAAATTAAAGAGCTTTTGATAAAACTCATATCATCATTAAGTCCTTTAACTTGAGAAGTAATTGTCTCTTTAAATTATTAAAATTCCTTCCTGCTATCAAGCTATTCCAGTTAAATCTTAGCTAATTGCTCTTCATTAGTTTAAATTTTCTCAAGCTAGACACTATTTTAATTGTTTTGAGTTTCAATTGAATGCAAATTCTAGATAATCTCTCCTTTAGTCTTTGCAGCAGAAGTTCTAATGGTCTATTTAAGATCTTTAATGAAACCTTGCCATTCCCCAGCTTCATTTGCATCATTGTTAATGGGTCTTCTAACAACAATGAAATTTGGGAAATGCTCTTATTATGTTAATTCATTTTAAGTAAATAGCTACTCTCTTTCAACTATCATATGAGCTTTTACTTTAAATGATTCAGCAACCAACTTTTACATAACTCTTTCATAAGACTCTGATATCACAGCTATGATAAAGTTCATAAACACAATATTCAAAGTCATGACAGCTATCAACCAGATAATCCAAGAAAAAATTACCAATATTTCACCTTATTTTTGATAATTATCGACATTAAAATCTCCAGATGAAATTCTGAAAGCCATTAAAAAGTAAGCAAAATAGTTAACACCATTGTATTCCTCAATTGAGTCTGCTTTAAAGAGTACTAAGAATATCATTCCAAATTGTAAGATCATAATTAAAAAGAAACTGAGGAAGTACTTAATATCTTTGAAGACACCACCCATCATTTAAACTAAAAAGCTAAAACCATCGTAAATTCTTAAGAAGAAAAATAACTTCATAAAAGAAAGTATTATCACAAGAATTTTTATCAAGATGAGATTATCTTGGTTCTCTGCGGTAAAATCAAGAATGCAATATACTGTAAATGATGCAATATGAGAGAAGTCAAAGTAATTCCATCCATCATCAAAGTAATTTCCTCTTTATATGATTACTTATTAAACCTCATAAATCAAGAAATAAATAAGTACAAATGTACAAATTGCTTTTGTTGAAATTTTGATCCATATATTAGGCTATTAAGCTTCAGACTCTTTCAATCCTTGATTTTAATTATAATCCTCCTTAGAAACCTTTGATGAATAAGTTGAGTAGAAAGTATCAAATATAAAAAAAGCCAAGAAGATTAGGTATATGTAGAACCTAGTCTCATAAAACGTTTTTGTATATTAATTCCATTTAAATTTAATGATACTCTGAATTATCTTATTTTCAAAATATTCTGACTTTTCAGTTGCGCTTAATACTCTCATTAGCTCTAAAGGATTATATTGCAAAGTTATTGGCAAGTTGATCAAATGATATTCAATTGAAACCTGAGAGTTGTTATTTCCATTTTTCTATAACAATTTACTGCCAAATAATTCATCATATTTTTCATGAACTTCTTTCGGGTTTGTTAAAGATATTCCCACAATCAACTCTTAATCATCATGATGTTGGCAAGGAAATTTAGAATCAAGTATTTAATAAATAGGCAGATTGCTTTCAAAGTATTCTTGCAAATCTATTTATTGGATAATTAGCTCATTGAAGTTCTTGTCTACAAGCTAGTTAAACACAATGTGATCTTGATACTTTATTATCATTGAAAGAATCAAGTTGATTATCTTTTGCTGATGAGCTTTAATTGAAAAATCTAATGGGGAGTCTCCTCCTAACATTTTCTGACAAACTAGAATAGGTAAGGATTGTTTATCCTTGATTGATAACTATTTAACAATGGCCTCAAGAGCTACCAAATTATTCTCAAAAACACCAATGCATGTACCATAACCAGCAATAAACTTATAGTATTTCGGGAGATTACATTAAATTTCTTTTATAATATCCTCATTACTTAAGCCTGCTATAGATCTATAATCCCTAATAAGCTAATCACTAATGTCTATCTCAAATTACCCAACCATTTGCTGCTCACCTGAAATAAAGATTTGTACTATTCCTTTAAATTTCCTATTCTCTTACCAATGCAATTCGGAGAAAATTATTAAAATTACCAATGTCAAAATAATTTTCTTTCTTGATTTCCATAATTCCCTTCTTTAAGAAATCTTACATTTAAAAACATATAGCAATGGACGTGCTGGACTTTGAGACTCTCAAATTAAATGAAGGGACGAGGATTCATATTATTAAGCATGCTTCTTTCTAGTCTTGCATTAATTTTCAACCATACTTCCTTGCCAAAAAGATTTATATTCAATTGCCTATTTTCAAAGAATATATTTAAAAGCTTTAATTCAATTTGATTAAGTTATTTATCTAACAAAAAAATATTATCAGCTATCTAACGGGGTTTTGGGGTTTTGGGG